ATTCATGAGAATATTGCTGCCAGTATTTCTCATAAATCTGAGATCACAGGACAAAGAGATGCTTTCCAGAGATGAAAGTACCTAAATGCGTTTAAACTATGAAGATAGGCAGTCTCGTCAGAGGTTGTTGGGGTAATGGCTGACAATGAGCATGTGTATCCTGTTTTTTTATCTTAGGGGATCACCGCCACTCCTGCCTGCCTTCCATTCATAACTTGTCCACTAGATTCTCATAATTCGTCTCTGTGGTGGTTGTTATTATTCATTTTCGTTCTACCCATATTTCTGCCTTTGTTTTGTTTTCTTGCTTATTGTCGTACTGACTTAGCTCGAGCTCCCTTGGGAATCAACTTCCTAGATCTTTCACTGCTCTAAATACCTTACTATTCCCTACCTCAGGAATCCAGAGCTAATGAAACACATACATGTGTTCAGAGCAGAAACAACGATGCTTGAGAATATGTGATCCAAACCGCCACAGGGAAAAGAAGTGTGGTATCGTTGCTGAATCCGCTGCTGCTGATACTGCTGCTAACACTAGATGGTTTAGCGGAAGAGGTAATTACCCAAGAGGGCTGATAAAATGAGTTGCTGGATGTTTGTGGGTATATCTTGAAGAATCACTCAGATTCAACTCTTTGGCCCGGTCCTATCTGTCTGTCTGTCTGAACATCCATGAGACTTAAGCTTCTTACTTTAAATTGTCAATCCAGAAAGGACAGATTTGTTTCTGCTAAAATGTGTGGCTGGACGGTCTTCCACCAATGCTCAGATGACTGGGTGCTTGTGACCTCTTCTCTCTGTCAATAATTACTCTGTTAATAATTACATACTAACTCTGTTCTACTTCACTAGTTTGGGATAGTCTGTGGATGCATGACGTTCTGGTTTTTGAGGCTTTACTTTCGAAACAAGAAGGCGTAGTGTTTATAAGTCATCTGGAGTCAAAAATAATCCTCTATCTTCCCTAAAAATATTTTTTATATCTGTTACTAACCAAGTATCTTGAAAAACCATGAAATATTATTTGGAACTAAATTTAAAATACTACCATTTGAAAGCCAGAAAGGAAAACAATGGAAAAGTTAGTAATATACTTCATGAAAATTCAATGAGAACAATAGATATTACATAAGTCTAAAATATTTCTTATGGAGGCCCTCAAATATGCAAAAATAATTATTGGCCTGACATAGAAGAAAACTAGTCTGAATTTAATACTCCGTAATTTAAAGACTAAAAGTTGTAGTTTGATTGGCAGGGGCATGCATAGTCTATGTGGGTAGAGGGAGATTTGAATTTCACATTTTTTGCCTGGTTAACATTCACATATTCATTTTTCATATATAAAAATTCATTATGTAACTGTAATTTTATATTTAATAGTTATCATATGGCAACTGAAGGAAAGATATGCAAAATTTTTAAGTCATTTTCAAAATGCAATGGCAATCAGAAGTTGATATAAAAGAAACAGAACAGGGCAAATACTTCGTGCATTCAAAGCGGTTAACAAGCCATCCATTTTAGCTTCTTGACAAACTTCATCTTTGATCACTAATTGACTATGTAAATGCTCACAGATACATACACATTGTCACCTGCCCACAAAGTTAAATTTTGTTTCTGAATCATGCCAGTCTCTTCTTGACTCCCTCACTCACGTTCCCATCCCCAGCTTTACATAGTCACATGTACCCATATGGCATTCTGGTTAAAATGTCCTTGCTACTGATGACTGCAAAAAGTAACTATGAAAGCTTCAGACAGCACTGTGCTTTGAAACATGTAAAATATCAGATTAGCAGCCCGGTAGGAAGTTAAGGTATACGTATGAAATAAAGTAAGTGATGAGATGCAAACAACAGGACTTACTAGAACCATTGACGAGCATGTTTGATGATGAACTGCAGGGAGGACTCGCTTTGAGATATGTGAGATATTTGCATACTAAAGCATGGTATAAATAGAAAGATTTCGGATTGTGCTGTCAGTGAACCAGAAAATAAGATGGTATTTTAAATTCATTTTCTACATTATTTGTATGAATGATTGAGCTTTTGAATATTAAAGTGTTCAATAGCTAAAGACTATTTTATAGTTATAAATGAAAGCCAGGTATTTAGTTTAATTTTAAAATTTAAAGTAGAAATGAAGTTTATTCGTGACACATGTACATAACAAAGATTTGCCACCGTGAATGATGTATTTGTCTGTTTTAAAATCAGTTTTTGAGTTGAAATTGCATTGATCTTAACAGCGATATGGGATATTATCATGGAATTAATCTTAGCTCTCAGTCTTAAATTTTGTGTGTGTGTGTGTGTGTGTGTGTGTGTTAAGAAAGCAAGGGAAAAAAAAACAAATAGTGAGGTAATGAGATAGGAAGTATTTCATAGCATTTGCTTTGTTTGTTTACACAGCTTGTATTTACCATACGTTGTTTTTTTTTCCTACATTGTTATAGAAACAGGATCCTGCAGAACTCAGAGACACCATCAAGGATAATTGACAGCCAATAGAATGGAAGCTGATGCCCCTTCCTCAAAATCACTGACCCTCACCTAGAGTAACGTCCTGAAATCAACATTTTAAAATCTCTTCTGAGCCCTCTATGGTGTACAGCCTGTTTCAGATGTGCGAAGACACTGGATATTTGTCAAATTGCCTTCTAGTTTTAATACCTCGTCATTTTCAAAGGTCTTCAAGAGTTCAAATCTCAAAATTCTTAGCTTTTTTTCTAATGCGTTTTCATGGAGTCTTTTGACTGGAAGCTTTTTGAACTATAATCATTAAACAATTTAAATGATAAATGTTGCATTTGCCTTTTCCGCTTTCCACTTCACCTAGCTCAGGAATTGTATCTACAAAAAGAATTGGAACTGCCACCCTGGGTTATCAGGATGGCTCAGTGAGTAAATGTCCTTGTTGCCATGCCTGATGGCCAGAGTTTTGTCCTGGAGACTCACAGAGTGGAAGGACAATCTGCTCCTTCAGTTTTTCTTTGAGCCCCCTACACACTCTGAGGTACATACAAATCCATCAATGCATGTGTACATATATGCACTCCCACATACTTAATTTAAGACTAATACCAAGACTATTACAATTATTATTTATAATATCACATTATGCAACGTATCATCCACATTGTTCTGTTATACAGTCTATTATATAATACTCTATTATAGTGCTATATGATTTTATAATATATAATAAAATAAAATAAAAATTTTAAAATATAAAGCTACCCTCTCTAGTTTCTCTGCCATCACTCATCCTCACCTCTCCCCCACTCTCAGATCAGACTAGATCTACCCTGAGCAACCTTAGGCTGGCAAGATCTCACTCAAGCTCCTACTCCCGGCATTTGAAGTACCCACATCACCTTTTCCAAACACAACCAACATAGGCCTCAGACTGACTTTGCTCAGCACTCCTTTTTCTGGACTAACTTTTCTCTCTTTACTATTTTACCCATTGCTTCTTTGCTTTATAAAATCCAACCCTCTTAGAGGTTGGCTCCAAAGGTCGGTTCTTTCATAACCTGTCTTGTGTTGCTCCACAGAAATCATTCCCTTTTGAGTAACTTCCCTCTCCTTAAATATTTCTCATTATCCTGCTAATGTTTATCCATATCACTTCCCCTTCTTTGCCTTACATGAGATGATAATCTCATCCAAGAACCAAGATAGGTGTTTACGAAACATGATTAATGAAAATTCAGATAGAGAAACTGGGGTTCAACCTGAAGGTCAGAAAAGTAAACAACCAGCCACTGGCTCTTCCTTCAACCTCAGTCCAAAACAGCAATCCTGCCTCCAGGAATCTCAGAATGAGACTGTATTTGAGAGCTGTTTCCTCCTGTTTTACCACCACCTCTAGGGTTGGGATTAAAGGCATGCACTACCCAGTTTCTATGGCAAACTAGTGTGGCTACTGGGATTAAGGTGTGTGTTACTATTATCTGGTCTGTGAGGTAGACCGGTGGGACTGTTTACTCTCAGATCTTCAGGCAGGTGCTATTTATTAGAATACAATTGAAATGCCTCTAAATCTTTATTTGAGAACTTTTAATGCGAATCTGTTTTCACTGTGAAGATATGGATCAACATCTGAATTATCTTGGTGAGACCTCTGATTTAGGTTGGATTACTGTGACCCTCCAGGAGATATTCTTTCTTCCTTTAAAACCACAAGGATTTTGACACTCTCCAAGAAATATCTTAAATATTTCCATTATACTTGTCTATAGGTGACATTTCACTCGTGTTTATCTTTACGTTCTATGTTTTTTTTTTCTTTGTTTTCATTCATTCTCCACCCTTTCTACACCATCTGTGGCTTACAGGGGTGGTCTCAGGTATGAACTCTTTCAGCAGCACATCACGGTGAACATATCTCTAGCCTTTGGGACATACTGTGAGACGTGGCTCTTTTCTTCCTCAGAAAGTAATACTAGTCTCAAACACCAGAATTTGCATTTATAAAGGAAAGCAATACTTTGAAAAGTCAAACTGGATGTCAGTGTTTAAGCTTCTCAAACTTTTCTGTTAATACAAAAGACATTAATTGACAAGATAAAATATTTCAAGGGAAAGTACAGGTTGTTGTATTGTGAATACCCATGCATAGTAACTAAATATAGTAAAGGAAAATCTAAGAGATGCCATCAACTCTATTTCCGAACTTTTAATGTGATCTCTATTCCATTTTTTTCCATTTCAAATATATGTAGTCTTGCCATATTACCAAGAAGTGAATTAAAACACAGAAAAGTCCAGAGGTGATTCTAACCTGAAAATTATAATTATACTTTATTATTTCTGCTGAAAACTTTCCCCCATAGCTCAACTCTTTATTAAGTTTATTTAATCTCATGTATTTGTGTCATAAGACAATCATTTTGTTAATAAATTTCATCTGTCTTGTAAGATGAGATATTCTGAAAATAAAAACTGTAGCTGTGTTTTTAGGTGAATGCATAGAAAACAACTTACCCCCAGTAGCCACAGTGATTTCACGTAGAAAATGACCATAAAATGGAAAATCGAAGGACAGATTCACTCTCTGCAAGGAACAACATCACAAAAAGAAATAAATCAATAATGTGCAGAATGGTAAATGTAAAATAGAAAGCGTTTCCATTAAAGCTAAATGATGTTTCTCCTTTACCCAATCGGTACTGTAGCTGACCTTAAAAATGAAGTGTTAGATGGTAATAAAGGATATTATTTTGCAATTAAGCATCTGAAAAAAATAAAGATATATTTTTGTGGCCTATTGACATCTTTCTGTTTTTACAAAGAATAACTGGAAATATAAATTCCAAGTCAAGCTATATTCTTTCTGCCCTTACCACTGTTGTTTCATTATTTTTAAGGATCTCTCTGCCACTTGATGAGTAAGTTTTCTGGGGTAGTTTGACATTTTACCAGTTGATTGAAAAACAGTAGAATAAAAACCAAAGACAGTGCTTTTTACACCATTTTAGCTTTGCTTTTTGTTTTTCTGTATATCCTATAATAAAAAATGATTGATGGATGATGATGCCATGAATCTGTAGATGCAGACCTGAAGACATCCTCATGTTTGTTTATTGTAGCGAACTATCCAGACATAACATATTGTGTCCATTTTAAAAGCACACAGTTGTATTATAAACAGTAACTACTGGAGAACTATTTCGATTTGGTATAGGAAAAATTGGATAGATATAGTTAGAAAATTTAAAAGCCTTATTCTTTTACCATCCTAAAGAAGCCTAGAGTATTGATTCATAATATATAAAAGATTTGCTTGTGTATATTAAATTTAATGCTAACGTATACAAAACTAGTAAAATACAAATGAATAGCTTTTTGTATGCCTAAAGCATTATGAGGCAAGACATAAGAACATGCTATACATAACAATGACTAGGACCTGAAAATAATAGATTTATCTTTCTACCTATTTTTCTGTCTATCTATCTATCTATCTATCTATCTATCTATCTATCTATCTGTATTTATCTATCTATCTATCTATCATCTATGTATGTACATGTACATATACATAAATATGTGTATTCGAAGGTAATTAATTAGCCTGGTTAAACCTCAACAGCATTACAGACTTCCTATGGTCAGGGCTCTTATGCTAACATTCCACCATTTTGACATTCATTTTTCAGAATCTACAAATTAAAATGTAGAAGAGTATGTCTATTGGAATTTAGCTCTCTCCAATTTTGCAAATGATTGCCTTCTCATATCCTTCAGAGATTTCTAATGACTTATTTGGCACAGAGTTAATCATTCAGAATCTACAGTGACTTTCAATTCGTTTTTTTTTCCTTTTTCTTGAAACGCACATCTTCCTAAAAAGTTTTTCATCACATTTATTTTATGTGAACAGTAAAATAGAAATGTTTGTTCTGTGCCACTTGAAGTGAGGGGTCACTGGTAACACTAAAATAAAAGCAACAATATTAACTGATGTGTCTGAAAGATGGCAAGAATAATTTGACGGCGCCAATTGCCATTGTGGACAGAATTTCACCACTCTAAACTCTTCCTCTGCTCATTAGTAAACTTATATTCTCACTAACATTTTGCTTTAAATATTTGTCAGCAACAAACTCAGTTTTCACCGAGGATGAATGAGAATCACATGGCAAATATTGTCTCAGATACTGTAGATATTTAAATATGTCTTGAGTTAGACCATGGTGCACAAGTAACACACAAAGTATAGAGAATGAAATAAGTGTTGAAATAAAAGCTAAGAATCCATCATCCACAAGAATTATACCTGTCATTGAACTTCTTTCCCATCTATCTCTCATGATGACATTCTCTTCCCTGTACAATAGCACTTAGCAGGTCCTGCCATCCAAAAGGCTGCTAAATGCATACATTCCTCTTGAGTCACTAATAATAACTTACTCACAAAACACACACACACACACACACACATTTCTTCACAGACCCCCTTGGCTCCAGTACCCCTTGAAGATACTGTCTAGCATTACTTTATTACCTTGTTCCAAAATCCTTTAGTCCATTGGTTTTTTCCCTCCTGGAAATAAGAGGGCCACACTAAAACTCATGTTTAAGACTAATCCATAACTAGAACTATTAGCAGACAACTCTATATCTTGTGGTCCTTCTCATGCTGGCCAAAGACTGCAGCTTCTGGTTTTTAAAAACCAATACTCTTAACTTTTGGTACCTGTCCTCCATGACACATGAGCCTTCATTAATCATGGTTTCTATACTTTTTCACGTATTGCTCTGATCTAAGTTGTGTCCTCATCCAAGATCTAATGACTGAGCAAAATTCTTAACAACAAAACAAAACAAAAAAACTTTGTGTGCAGAAGAGTGCATATACATGCCCATATGTGTGTGTGTGATATGTGTGACAGAGTATGCATGTGTGATCCAAGGGCATGTCCATGTGAGAAGGCTGGCATACACAAGAAGGTCAGAGAGGTATGTGCAGAAGGTCCTCATTTTCTACTTTGTTCTCTTGTTGCTCAATTTCATACATGATAAACTAGCTGGCGCACGAGTTTTCAGGAGTTCTCCAGGCATTGACTTCCATTTTGTACTAGGATTGCAGATTACAATGACTTCATGTGGCCTTGGGGATTTGATTTCACATTCTCATGCCACTAAAGCAAGAACTTCATGCACTAAGCTATTTCCCCAGCCTAGACAGAACCTTGCTTTGGAGGCTGATCTTGGAAGACACATGCTAAGATATGCAGAAATATTGTGGAAAAAAATAGTATAAGACAGAAGGCCTGTCATGTGTCACTGGACAAAGTGCCTGCTGTAAAGGCACAAAGAATAAGTTTGGATAGTGAGCTTCCCATAGCAGTCTGGGCATGATGAACATAATGGCCACAATCCCAGAGCTAGGGGCTGGAAGTGTATATTCTGGAAGACTTATGGGCCAGACAGTCTGCTCCCAAACAGTGAGTTCCAGGATCAGTGAGAAACCCTGTGTCAGACGATAAAGTAGAGAAGCAATCGAGAGAAACAGACTGATGTTAACACCTGGCATCTATATGCACCTGCACATGTGAGTACACCTACACATATACATATGCCCACATGCATATGCAACTATATGTAACAAACACTATATACACATACACACTGGGAAGACAAAGAAAAAGAATGAATGAGTACCACACCGGATATTCTACCACAGTCCATAAGCACAAAGAAGAGATAACCCAATTCCTAAGGTGCAAGCTGTCTGAATAGTTCTTGTCAGTAAGCTCTCGGAAACACTGGAGAACATGCCTGATTATCATGGGAAGGCAGGAAGCAAGCCATTCTTCCAGCTAACTACTCATTCTCTGTATTAACTCAGGTCACTCAACTGCTCAACTCTCCTCCAACTTGAGCCATGCCACAGGCAGAAAGAAGAAATATGACTTGAGTTGGGAAGTTATTCCCAACAGCTTCCTATCAGTGACCAGTGAAGAATCAACAGGGGCCAATAAGTGGAAGGGCCTTCAGAGTTCAGTTATTGCTTCTTAGCTCAGGTTTGTCTTCCCAGAATAACTCACTCATCTGTCTTAATATCTACATGCACAAACTGAATGGCTTTACCCAGTCTTATTTTGCAATCCTTCAGTGTGAAAACTACTCAGAGTCACAGTTCTTAGTGTGGCTCAAGGAGAAACCTAGGATTTGAACCTAGGTTTGATTACAAAGGCAGTAATCTCAAATACTGAAATAGTAAACACAAAGTGCTAGACAAAATTAGGGGAATCATAAGTTTCTCAACTAAACGTGTGTTATAATAAAATATCAATATAAACAAGCTCTAAAATTTTATTAAGTGCCTTCAAGTCAAATGATTATATATTCAATGTAATTACCCATAACTAATTAGATTATTATTTTTCCCAGGACGATACATCTAAAAGAAGTGTCAGACAAGAATAAGGGGAAGTTTTATTTTTTCACGTTTTCATTCTTCATTCATCACTGTGTGTGAAACATAGAGGTAGACAATGAGTAAATTTCACAGGGTCTCCTTAGTGATGGGGAGAACATGACTGAAGGATACATAATAGGACCATGTGTAGACTGAGTAGTATTAAGAAGTGACATTTGAGTTCAAGTTCAGGTACCCCAAATTGATTGTTTAAATAGGAAGCGACATAAGTTCTTCACAAAGATCTTAAAGTAAGACCAAAAACTTTGAAACTGCAAGAGGAAGACATGAGAAACCTTTCAAGAAAGGCAATAACTTTCTGAATAGTACTTTCACTGCCCCAAAGCTAATAACAAGAACCGACTAAAAGGATTGTGCACCATTCTAAAACTTTCGGTACAGCAAAGAAAACAAAGACCACAGTGATAAAGAGATGGCCCACAGAGTAGAAGAAAATCAACAGTGATTCATCCTTCTGATATTTACTATCCAGAATGTATAAAGACCTCAAAACATTAAAAATCTAAAGAACAAACAATCCATTTAATAAATGAGAAACTGAACTAACTAAAAAGATACTTTTCATATAAAGAATATAAATAGTTAATAAATTCATAAACACATGCAATATTTTAAAGAAATGCAAGTAAAACCCACTGATATTCCATCTGAACCCAGTCAAAATGGTTGTCATCAAGAAACATAAGTAACAAAAAAACAAATGTTAGTGAGGATGTGATAGAAAAAGAAATATATGGTCTAGCTACATCACTCCTGGGTGCATACCCGAAAGGAATCTAATATATCACAGAGTTCTTCATATTTTTCTATTTATCACTGTATCATTCTGATAAGCCAAATTACAGAACCAGCCTAGGTAGCTGGCAGTAAATAAATGGACAAAGAAAATGTTGCATCCATACACGATTTAGGGTTATTGACCTGTTAAAAAAAAAATCAATCATATTATGTGCAGGAAAATGGATGGAACTAGAGATCATTATGCAAGTAAAAAGCTAGACTCATAAAGGCAGATGCCATGTTTTCTTTCATATGTGGAATCAAAGAAAGTAAGAATAAGGGAAAATAATAGAAAACAAACAAACAAAAACAACAGGACCCAAAGT